TCAGTTGAATTGGTTAGATGTAACTATAAGTTCTATGCTAACAGTTTTATTTCTCTCGCACTTCTTGCTTGTTGGACTATCTTCTATCTCCATACTTTCTTTAGTTCTGAGTATAATGATAAACTACAAGTGACAACAAAACCACTGATCAGGAGATTGAAGGTTTTGAGGGGCGTGGGACCACCTTTTAATTGCTGTTGTTCCCGGGTCCAACTTGACCCAGATTTTTAGTACCTGTTAGAGTCCCAACTATTGGTAAATAGTAACCCCTCCCGCAACTAAAACAAAACACTATGAAAGTATAAAAATACCAGCAATACATTTTTATATAAAAAATGACCAACAATATGCACATACTAACAAATTGTAGCAACTTCATCGAAATCCGTTTAAGATACTGCCAAACAACTAATATAAAATAACTTTCATGACATTATGCCATATAATATCCGACAATTTCTTAAATCAAACTGTACCCCAGAATATAACTTCAACAAAGCCACGACATAAAACACATATCACCGCCTCTAGTAATCATGTCCACACAAACATGTACATGCAAAAAAGCTGAGTATCATCTACCATGTATTCAATTGTGAAAGCAGAATAGCATATATCATATTTTTATTACTTCCAAGCTCCCAAGAAAATTAAATTTCAGCATTAAATGACCCATAAGGAGTTAATATGCTGTTAAACAGACAAATCAATTAATCCATGCTTTCCAGCCAACTTTGATCTTCAAAAATTTAAATGCAATGTCAATTGTTATTTACAGTTTTCTTGATTACTTTGCTATTGTTCTCATTCCTTAATGTTTCTCTTTTTTTTTCTTATTCTTTCCCAGTAAGCCTTTGTATCTTAGTGGCTTTACTGCTTTGCATGGGGTCAAATGATTAAAAAAAAATTGTAAGAAGTTAATATGTCATCATTTTTGGCAGCTTTGGTAAACTAGTATTCATATAGTATTCTACTTGATATATTGGAGAGGGGTGTTATTTTTGAATAGTCAGTGTAGTTTCAAAGATGCTCAAACATTCACTGAACTAGGATCAACAATAGCCATTTTTAAGAATTGGAATATATTAAGAAGAAGGTTCCTTTGACATATTGGCTTAAGAGATTTAATATGAGTTTTCATGTCATAAGGTTTCAACAGTATCAAGTAATTTCTGCTAAAAGGAGTGGACAGTGCGGTCAGTTTAGTATACTTAAATGAATTCTTACAATAGCTAACACTACAGAAACTAGAAAATTAATAATTCACTTTAGAACAAATTAAAGTCCAAATTAATCTGAATTTAACGTTGTCCTGTATATAAACATGACAGCCTGTTCCACCCACAGCAGTAAAAAAAAGTGACAGCTATTCCTTTACATACAGGTGAAAACATATTTGGTTGTATATACCATTGTCCAACCTAGAAAGTAGAGTGAACATTTTATCCAACATGGGGGATGGACTACATGGCCAACTTGCAAATACCTTGATAGCCATTGTACTGACTATGATCTAGCTATCACATCCCCACCATAATAACAGTATGAAGTAGCTTCTCTAGGTACAAGAGCATTAAGTGTCCACATCAGAAGGATTACTTTAAGTTACTGAAAAGACACTGTCTATTCAAGAGAAAATTTGTTGATGCTGGTAATAGAATATTCAGTACATATTTTTTTATATACAAGGTCTGTCTGAAAATTAACAGGATTGGTGTCGCAAACAATTTATTTGAATTCCAAACAGCAAACTGGATGGTTTCCCCTTCAAAGTAATCCCCCTCAAGTCTAATGCACTTTTCTATCCTTCTCTGTTACACTTCTATGCACTGCTGGAAGAATTCTCTTCCTCAGCTCTGTCATTACAGCCCTTTTCAAAATGGGTCTCTTTGAGGATCCCCTTGAACTTAGGGAAAAGAAAAAAGTCACATGGAACAAGATCAGGTGAATAGGTAGGGTTGTTCCAGTATGGTGATGTTTTTTTTTTTTCAGCCAGGAACTGCCAGATGCTCAGGTGTTGTGAGCCGGTTCATTGTCATGGTGAAGCAGCCACAATATGTCCTGCCACAACTCCCGCATATGAAAAAGTCACGTTACTTTTTGCGACAGACCTTGTATTAAAGTTAACCCTATTCAAGCCTCAAAAGCCACTCAACGTAGAGGAGTACTGTTAAAATACTTATGATGAATGAAGTGTGTGGTTTGAATGAAAGCGGCAATGGTAGAAAGTGAACCTCATGAAAATATTGATTGATTTGTTTTTTACAGCTTATCAACCTTTTGTAGGTTATTTAAAGCTGAAACATCTTTGATTATAAGAATAATTCTTTTTTGTGATGCAATATTGTATATGAAAAACATTATCTCCAATAAAATGTTAATACAAGTTTGTTCTGCTATTTAACTCATAGATGGGGAGAAAAGGTGGATTCATACCTTTCCCCAAGAGTTTCTGCACGTAAGTAAATGTAATGAACTCAACGGGATTTTGTATTCGGCTCTCTAAATTCTTATTCAGAGCTGTTAAACATCACCCACACATCCAACTTTACAACACCTGGTATTCACATGTGGTCATCCATTTAAATGTTGCTTAACTTTGGTGATCAGACGAGGACTGGTGTTTCAATATGATATGGCTGGAAGCAGATCATGAAAATAAAGAGGATAATGATTAACCCTTGACTTGAAATGGTTAAGACTTAAGGGACTTAACCATCTCGATTGTCCCTACTGTGCCAAGGGCATTAACTCAACACACTTATCTGTTCACTAGGTGGAGTGTTTTATCTAAAACCCTACACCTGGAGTGACAACACAAACTGGGACCTTCTTCTGGACATAAGGATATCTTTCCCTGAGTAAATGAATTTACACACACAGACACCACCTACACAATTCCTAACTTTTAATGTCTACTCTGTTTTGCATGCATACTAGTGTATTTTCTCTCTCTTGTTACTCAGTTATATAAAGACAAAAATATAAAATATAATCTTGTTGAAATTCATTCCACTTCTTATACCTGCCATTTTTATGTATGTAAATTTTGGTTGACACTGCTTTTAGTCTAACTAGGATCAGTGCCATAGCATCAGCTTCTTGACATTATATTTGGTACCACTACTCAGTCACTTCATTTGATGCCTGTCAGATATGAATAGGTTAGCCAAATTATCCCACTTGAGAGGCAAATCATGCTTATTCTAGGATCCACACCAGACAGCAGGCATTCCATTCCATCCACAATTGCATCAGTTCAGTATGTATCACAGATTTTCTTTTGCCAGTGTAGCTTGGTTTCACACTAAGGTTTGCTCAGTATAGTTGCAGTATGATCCAGAGATGGGCTCTGTGGGTGTTGAGCAAACACAAATGTGCCTGAGCGGGCGACTGCAGCAGGGATTGACTAGTGTGCTCAGAAAATGAGAGTAGCCAGCTTCAGTGATGTGCAGAAGTTTGGTGATGCTTGGAACCAAGTAAGGGGGGTGGGGCTATAGGACTTGGTATTGAGAAATGTGAGAGAGGAAGACATTTTAAATATGTAAAAAAAAAGATGAAATATGAAATAAACACTTTATTCAAATTAAATATAAACTAAATTTTTATTTCACTCTTTGATTGGGTACCCTCCCAATATGGATGTTTGGAGCCATCACACCTTCTGCCCTACTTTCTGGCTGACTATTTTACTGCTTTTCCCATGTTTTTATTTTTTTCTGAAAAATGCCCTGAAAAATCACCCTGCATCTTAGCACTGAAAGGTTAATTTGTAGAGAGAAGTTTTCCAACCCACATGAACCCCCAGTCATGAGATGCAAGCAATTATGAACCCCAGGCATAAGTCTGCAACTATCATTCATATGTAATAAATACTGTATATTTCGTTAGTATCATACCATATTGTTTTAATTTAGCATTTATGATAAACAGTAGGCATCTTCTTACTGGTACTGTTAGTCTTTCATTCATCTAGGCATACTGTAATAATACAAATGGATAGTCAATAATAATAATGCAGTAATAGTGATAGTGATGATTCAAAAGCAACACACTGCTTTTGAATACAGTTTTGAAACATCAGCTGGGAGTTGGATATAAACAGCTCGTGTGTTGAGATGGCTTATGATGGCAAATACAAGTTGTTTCAGATGTTAATAGGTATAACATTGTGCTAAACTATTGAAAACCTAATTAATATTAATCACAAACACAGTGTAACCCAGATATAAGCGAGTTGTCGGGACCGGAGAAGAAGTCTCTTATATCCGGGTTTGGTCTATTTTGTTTAGGTAAGTATGGGCTCTAATTTGGGACCAGAGAAAATCTCTCCTATATCCGGGTTTCTTATATCCGGGTTACACTGTATTTAATAATTTAATAGCTCCAAAATGTGATAATTTGTTGTGACAGAAAAAATGACACCATAGCGTCTGCGACTTAGACTATTAAAATCTTCAAATAATTTTTAAGATACCTAGGTAATTATTAGATGCATATTACTAATTGGGAAATACAGTATATATGATATAGACACAAAGGTATATAAAAACATGTACTTGTTAAATGTATGCATTATTTGATGCATAGAAATGTTCACAGTGCCCTATTTATTTATTTTTTTTAGAAAACTAGAAACAATACATAATTAAACACTAGAGACAATTCATGGTTAAAACAGTTTTTTTTTTTTTGTGTTCATTTTATCCTGAAAAAAAAATAACAAAGGAAAACTAATGTACAAGGTACATATGTACTAGTCACTCACAAACCGACATCTCTCTTACATATCCTCCAAATCTACAATTCTTACATCCATAAAACAACCCCATTCAGTAAGCCTCTACCTTAAGTGGCTTTCATAAATAGTGTTAAAAAAAAAAAATGCCTAAGTGAAGATGATGACAGATGAGGATATGTTTCGAACAACCCCCCAATGTAAAATTGTTTATAAAATGGAATAATGTGGAACATAATATTTTTATATTTTTTTATTTCAGTATGTAAAAGCTGTGATTCCTTCTCATCGTACACGCCATCTTGTTTTATTGGAACATATTTATTCAACTTGTGGCCATATTGAAGGTAAGACAAATGTTCTTTGATTTATAATACTGTTTATTAGATTATACTGTGATTGTTTACTTATTTTAAATTGCATGTCTTTTCATGAAACGAAGTTACTTGCAACTACAATATTTGACAGCTTGAGGTAATGGTTAACAAGCCAATCTGCTTGGCCTTTTATTACCAAGTGTCCTGTAATTACAGCTGTGTGGTCAAAAGTAAATTACACTTAGTAAAATGAATTTTGGCATGGTTTAATGTTTGAGATAACTTGGTTGACCAGTAATACTGCATATAGAGTTCAATCCTCACTGGGTACCCTATACTTTTAGGTTTGTGAGAGAAATTAACTACAAATGAAAGGGTGTCAGCATTAGGGTAATGCCTAGTGAGATATCTGTGGTGAGAGCACATCAGCACAAATGTAAAAGATGCCTTGGATTGCATGCGGACATGTTTATACCAATTACATCCATATTTTCCTATTAGCAGCGGAACAGTTTGGCATGTCTAGATATGGGCCTCTCAGCAACTGGTCAAGATCTGAATCTTTGTAAGATGCCTCATGCTAATAAAAGCAAGAGGAACCCAGCAGTTGGCAAGACACAGTGTCTTGTGAAGATTTTTGGTCCTCAAGTTGCTGTGGTTTCCAAGGTAGTGTTATTTTTGTTACCTCTCATCACCTTCCCCTTTCTGTCTATTACCCCCATAATTGCTGAGAGTGCAATCAATTAGGTGTTCCCCCCACCCCAATCTCAACACACTCTTGCTGTACATTACAACAATAGCTTTGTGCTATTCTTGCTGCTGCTAGAAAAATGTGTTATCAAGTACAGTAAACTTGCAATTGTTTAAAATGTTTTTTAATCATTTCACCAAAGCAAGGCAATAAAAGCCAATAGGGTCCAAGGAGTTACAAAAAGTGAAAGAAACAGAGAGGACAATAAATGAGCAGGATCCAAAGAAAATGACAATTGTGTTTAAATTCTTGAAAATTGTACCTTTTCATGATTCAAAGACCAACATTTTTAGAAATATATAACAGTAGCTAGCAGGAAGCCAGAAGAGAATTCTACAAGCAAGAAATGCAGGAGAAAAAACTATTAGCATAGAACTTTCAGTTACGACTAGCAATTTCAACAGCAAAATTATGAGACCTAACTGCCAATCTAGTACTGCACTTAAATTCATAAAGTCAAGGTACCAAAGAGGAAAGCTCACCAGAACAATTACCTTGAAAATAGATAGAGGAAAGGAACGGGGCACCTGTGCTATGGCAGTGGGAAAGTGACTGAAGACAGGATGCCAGGCCAGGACTGATAATGTTGTAGATTCTTCTTTGGATCTTGTCAGGAATTTCTCGATATAAAACAGAAGCATCAAACTAGATGTGTTGGCAATATTCGATGTACTGACAAATAGTAGATTTACATATGTGCAAGATAGATTCTGGTGAGAAAAATTGTCTAGCATTACAAATTGAACTGACTTTTTAATTGATTCAATTTCCACTTCATGTCAGTGGAAAATATGATACTAAGAAGGTTGTTCTGAAGGTTAGCATCAGCCATACTGATAAAAGGAAAACAATTTCTTTAAGTTGATTAATAGAGAGTAGTTTCTTTTTAGAGTCATTAAAATTAACAATTACTGTTTTCATTTTGAATATTTTTTTAAAGCTTGATTTATGGAGTCTTTATTTGTCTGTGTTGACTATAATATAATTTTGTCCCCCCATCCTTAATGTACTTTATTTGCTAGCCTATGTAATAGCATGTTTAACAAAAGTAGTTTTATGGCTTACGGCTAACTGCAACTCATCCCAATTCTCCATAATTAGCTCAACTCTTTGCTTAAGTTCAGTAAAAGTGTAATCCATAAATAACATCAAAATAATTTGGTATTTCATTTTGCTGATCCAACATTAGTTTATTTCTTTCAACCTTCTTTTCCTTTTCTCATATATATATATATATATATATATAGTCATCCATGGACAGACTATTTCACTGTATCACAGCTCATCAGTCGTCCTGGGTAAGATGTTAAACTACATCCAGCAGCAAGGCCTCTGATCAGAAGGTTTTGAGGAGTGTGGAACCACCTCTTAATTGCTAGTGTTCCCAGGTCCACCCTGACCCGGGGTGGTAGCACCTGTTAGGGTCCCAGTCATGGGCAAATAGTTAACTATTACCAGCAATATTTTTTTGAAAAAAATTATTACCAGCAATACAATTTTGAAGGAAATATATTACCAGCAATAAAAAATGTGTCGGCATTAAATAGCCGATTGAGGTTGATATGCCGTAAAACAAAATAAACCAAACCAATCTAAACCAAAGAATACATATTCTATTCATATAAATCTATCCTAAAAATGTTGTAAGCATTAAATAACTCATTGAAGTTGATATGCCGTTAAACAAAATAAACCAAACCAGCTCATCAGGTTGACTAGGCATCCAATTGCTTCAAGCCGTGATCAAATCCCAACTGATTTGGCAACAGTCAGAGATCTTACCCTAAGTTATTGGCACACATTTGAAAGAGGCAAATTTTTACATACTTATTCCGTAAATAAACACACCAATGACTGACAGTGCTCAATTCGGGTAGAGCTTGTAATATTAGTAGTATTAGTCATTGTTTACAAATTCGCACTTAAATTCCAAGAGTGCACAACTGAATTTAAGTTTTTCAGGTGCATATATATTGTCGTCCACTGACAATTTCACTGTATCACAGCTCATCAGTTTGGCTAGATATTCGATTGCTTCAAGCCGGGATTGAAACCCAACTGATTCGGTGCATGGTTGAAAGAAAGGAAGATTTTTACGTACTTATTCTGTAAATAAACATGCCAATGACTGAGAGGTATATATGTAGGACGCCCATGGCTAAGATACAAAGACACGCTGAAAAGCAACTTGTCAGCAGTCGATATACCACATAACACCCTTGAGCGCTTAACCTTGGAGCGGGTAGAATGGAGATCAACGTGTTTTAGTGGACTCAGCAATTTCTAATCTGCTTGTCTGAATCATCTTCAAGAAGTGAGATCAAGATCTAAAAGGTCAGCCAATCTAACAGTGATCTCATCTCACAATCCTCACACTTGCTCCATATGTGGCCTCCTTTGTAAATCACTGGTGGGTCTTAAATGCCACTTAAGATTATCGCACAAAATTTCATAACTGAATCAAGTAAGCTGTTAGATCCTCATACGTCAAAACTGACAGGAGAGTCCATTATATATATATATATATATATATATATATATATATATATATATATATGATTGGTATATATGGAATGAATTCCAATAACCAACAAATACTATTCTTAAAAGTGTGCTCAATGCAAAGTAGAGCAGATATAATTCTTTATTTTAAAAAATTTATAACATAAATATGTTATAAAATCACTACAAAAATAGCCATTTTGTTTCAACACTCTCAGTGTCTTATTAAGTGATGATGTTGAATGTAAAATATTTATTTTACATTCAACATCATCACTTGAGTCAAAAGGAAAACTTTACTGATACATTTTGTCTTTGATGGACTTTATCAAGGCTAATGTAAGGATTTTATTTTGCAACAAGTATTTATAAACAGAAGTAAAAATGGCATTAGGTTTTTAAAATTTTCAAATTTAAGAACATCCAAAAATACTCTTCAGGCTGTGAAAGAAATGTATGTTGCAAAATAAAATCCTTACATTTACCTTGATAAAAGTAAATCAGAGGACAAAACGTGTCAGTAAAGAAAATTTTTCATGTATTTTACAGATATATTTTTATTTGTATATGAATTTTTTACACATACATTTATATATTTGAATGTGTAGTACCTCTCACATCTGCAAAAACTCCCAGACAAGGTAAGAAAGGAAAGCAAGAAGAAAGCACAAACTATTAACCGAAAGACAGAATGTATGGTTATCAGCCACAGAAACAGCCAAATGTTTGAGATTCAAATTAAATCCATCAGAATCAAACAGGTACAGAAATTTAACTATCAAGGTAGTATGCTAACACACAATGGAAAGTGTGACACATTGAAGGCACATTGAAATAATTAAAAATACCTTCCAGAAACTAATTAAAGTATTAAGATATAGGAAAATATTGTTAGAAACAAAGAAAAGAGTACCAAACTGCTGTGTCATATCTATCCTCTTGTATGACAATGAATGCTGAACAATTTCCTTACATATGAAGAAGGCTTAAAGCAACAGTGTTACAGTTCTCTAGATGGATACAAAGTATGTGAGCAATGAGGAAGTTCTGAAGAAAGTTAGAACAAGGACATTGATACTTAAACAACTGAGACAGTTGAAATTTTTGGGAAACATTTGAGGAAAAAAGGCTTGGAGAATTTGACCCTCACAGGACATATTGAAGACAGGAGAGTTAGAGGGAAACAGTGAGTAACCTACCTAAGGAGTTTGGGTAAATGGATGGTAGAGTGGGGATTGCTGAAAGAAACAAGGACCAGGAACTTGTGGAGAGCCACAATCATCTACACCCTGAAGGGACACTGCACTTAAAAGAAAAATACCTTTCACAGAGTATGCAGATACTGCATGTTGATCCTAGGCAGAGTGTATGGATACTACTTTGAACATTGGCCCCAAAACTGAGCAACATTCTAATCTGAGAAAATGCAGATACATTCCAAGTGCTCAGATACTTTGATCCAAGACAAAAGTGATAATTAATACATAAGTAATCCTGTCATTTTTATGAGTAATATGCTAGTTAAAAAAAATAGTTCACACTGTTGTGCCAACAGTTCCTTTGTGTTGTCAGTAAAATCGAGAAAGGAGAGTTTCAAAGCAACCACCCACCGTCCAGAAGTAGGGACAGAAATAAATAGTATAAATAAAAACTTTTGAAACCAATCTGTAGGTAGAAAATTCTGGTCATAATCAGTCCACATTCTAGATAGGGAAAAGTTACAGGCTAGAAGTAGCAATAAAGATATCCTAAATGTCCCTTACCACCCCCAACACACTACCAGGTGAATCTGTCATTTGTTGTGCCAGGGGTCTTGGTATTTATTTTATTGGAAACTTTGGAGTAAATCGAACTGACACAACAGTATAAAATAAATAATATATATTCATTTATTTGATTTAGATTAGAGTGAGTCCTTTGATATTCAGTATAGCAAAATGTTCGTTTATAAGATGGATATTGATAGCAGTCTGGAGAATGTCTGTTTCAGCTCAATAGTGGGTATTTAAGAAGTCAGACCTTGCTAGTAGTAGGAGTAGTAATAGTAGTCATCTTTGAAATGGGTCAGCATCAATCTACTGTTTTTCTCATCTCTAAGAAAATATCATTAGCAGATGACCTCTTAACTACTTCATGTGTCATGCACTGTTGGATTCTCTGGTAGTTGTGTCTCTTGTTTCATGGTTTCTCTTGCCATCCCTTCTACTCATCTAGCCCAGAGCTGTCAGCTTATATCCTTTTGACCAGGCTCTCAAACTCTGGCATGAATTTTGGTCTCTGCTAACATTGCAAGTCTCTTTGTTAGTTTTTTTGATTGGCCAAAATTATTTTATTTTCTGGTGTTCCTTTCTTTTTCATTTTTCTTTTTTTTATATATAATGGAAGTTATGTGTGGAGCCCATCATATTTTGGTAGATTTATGGTCATAAATAAGTAGGCTCTGGTTCCAGTGTTTTTTGAATGGGTTCAGTCTTCTTCCTCTTTTTATCTGAGGGTTGCCTTCTTGTTAGTTGAGAGAGAAGTATAGAAAGAGAAGAACAACAGAGAGAGAGAGAGAGAGAGAAAGATAAGGGTTTTAAAAGAAAAGTGCAAATGCCATATTTGAATTATTTTTATTTTTTTTATATATTTTTATATTTTATTGTGATTCATTACAAATCCACAAATAAAGAACCATATCTAATTTCCTGTATTTCTCACCAAGGCAATGTCTCAAGATGTCTGTATTCAAGCATTTTTTGTTGAATATACAGCATGTCTGTTCCAGTTTTGTCCATACTGACACAAATGGGAACTGCGTCCTGTGTATGACGTTAAACTGCATCCAACAGCAAGGCCTCTGATCAGGAGGTTTTGAGGAGCGTGGAACCACCTCTTAATTGTTGGTGTTCCCAGGTCCACCCTGACCCGGAGTGGTAACACCTGTTAGGGTCCCAGCTATGGGCAAATAGTGAACTCCCAGTCTATCCCACGTCCAGGGTATAACGATAAACTACATCTGCGTCCTGGGCACGGCGATAAACTACATCCACATACTGGATATGGCGATAAACTATGTCCAACAGAAAGGCCATTTTTGAAAAAATAAGGTTGCCGGCTATACATTTTTGGGGAAAATAGTATTATCAGTTATACGTTTTTGAAAAAATAATATTATCAGCTATACACTTTTGGAAAAATAATATTAAGAGCTATACATTTTTGGAAAAATAATATTACCAGCTATACATTTTTGTAAAATAATATTGCCAGTTATACGTTTTAAAAAAGAAAAAAAAATATTATCAGCCATACGTTTTTTTAACAAAACCTTATTCAATGGAAGTGTAACTGGGGTCAAAACACTGTGAAAGTGTAAAAATGGGTTTTAATACCAGAAATTGTTTTGTAAAAAATTATTACCATCAATACATTTTTGAAAACCAAATGTTGCCAGCAATACATTTTTGAAAGGAAAAACCTAAACAAACCTTAAAACACAAAGTAATCCAATGAACCAAACAGGAAATCAATGATCACAAATACACACAAGATACTTCAATGGAACTGGAGAGGAATAAAAAAAAAAAATTATTACCAGAAATAAATTTTTGAAGGAAAAAATATTGCCAGCTATACGTTTTTGGAAAAATACTATTACCAGCTATATATTTCTGAGGAAAGAGATATTGATAGAAATGGATTTCTAACAAAACAAAAATATTATCAGAAAAAGAAAAAAAGTCGGCGGCATTGAGGTTGATATGAAAAAAAAAACAAAACAAACAAAAACAAATGGGAACGGAACCATAAACTGGCCAATAGGTGTATGTTTACTTATTTTTATAGTAAGTCCGATTGGTCTGACAAAGTAAAACTGGTAGCTACTCTCGAAAATGACCTCCAATCTGTTGTTAACTGGGGAAAGGAATGGTTTATAAATTTTAACACCTTCAAAACACAATTGCTATCTTTTAATCATCATAGAGAATTTTTTTTTGCTTTCAATCAGCATGGCTGATGCTAACCTCCTGGAGAGCAACTCCTTTTGTCTTCTTAGTCTCATGTTTTTCACCGACATCATAAAGTGAAATGATATATTGAATCAATTGCTAGGTCTGCAGCTAGAAAAGTTGGTTCACTGTGTTGTACCAGACAATTTTTCTCACCAGAATCCACCTTACACATTTATAAATTTACCATTTGCCCATGCCAAAAATCCAAAGAAGTGTCTATAATGTAATTGATCCTGACCTGGCATCTTGACTTCAGTTACTTTCTCACCAACGTGACATGGCTTCCCTCTGTCTTTTCTACAAATATTTTCATGGCAATTGTTCTGACGAGCTTTCTTACTTGGTGCCTCAAGTGTATGAATTCAAGCCTGCTATTAGATTGGCAACTAATTATAACTGCTTTACTGTTGAACTAGCTAGATATAAGTGTCTCTTCTATTCTAACAGTTTTTCTTGCACTTCTCATCTGTAGAACTCCTTTCCGATATTTTAGAATCTACAAAAATCTTCAAAAATTTAAATACAGAATCAATTACCATCTCCTGCCTTCCTGAAAACTGTTCTTTTATTGTCCTTTCTCCTCACTAAAATCTTTTCATTCTCTTTCCCTCCCAGTAACCTTTTGCATCCTAGTGGCATTATTGCTTGGAATGAAAACAATGATTAACAAAAAAAAAAAGTTTGAAAAATACAAGAATTCAAGATATGAATGAGAAGGCAACATGATTAGAAGTGTCATTGAAGTTGGACAATATGAGTCAAAATTGCTTCAAACTCAAAATATCACTTTCTAGGCTTGAATAACTCAAAAGGAAGTTCTGTAAAACTTTCAAACTGCATTTGTTTTATTGTGACACTTGAAATCACATAATTGAATTTGAGCAGTGGGATCTGGTTGCAATGTAAGTTATTGCTAGGGGATCTTTGGTTAGGGGTCATTATATTGCAACAAACCTATTTTAGTCAAAGAGAAAGACACATAGCTTAATATCTATGTTATAAGCCTTTATTTACATTTCAGGTAGCAGTAAAGTTGCAACTAACAGAACCCAGCAACAACACTAGTGCAATATAATTGTTTTTTATGTAGATTACAAATTTTATATTTGCATAATTTATTTTGAAATTATATTGAGGAAAAAATATTTTCCCCATTTTTTAATATGAATTTAAAATGTATTTTCAGTAACATAATTTTGTTAGTAAAAAGATCTCACTTATTTTAAGATGAAATAATTCTTTATGCTAGGTCACAAGACAGCTCTTCAGAAACTGTTACTGCTGCACCCAACTAATATTCAGTATTGGATTGCCTTGGCATCCTGCTACTCACAGACTGGTTCATCATCTTCCATCTCAGAAGAATTCTCCAATATGTTCATATCAGCACCTGCTTTCTATAAGCAATTAATTTGTCTACTCCGAGCCAGGTAAGGACATTATTTTTCTAAAATGATAATATGGATTTTAATAAGGAAACTTGTTACTATACTAATGTAATGGAATAACCTGTCACCCCCCCCCCCATGAGTAACTACACTATAGGTAGTAACTACCTACAAATATCGGTAAGTCGGTGGTGTATGGAGTCTAGCTGTTGAGTACGACTCAGACTTATGTGAGAACTACTGACCTTCCAATAGTAGCACTCACTACTGGATTGACTTGCAATGATCTTGTGCATAACTGTTACCTTTATTCTTATTGTACTGTTTTTTTTTATAATAAACCTTTACTTATTTTATCCACCTTGTTTTTCAAGTATATATTCCTATTAGCACGGAATATAACATATACCCTCTCTCCTAAGAGTGACATCAAACCAAAAGAATACAACTGTTTACAAAATTATGAATATTAAAATAATTTATTTTAATTCCCTGTCAATTCTAGAGATAAAAACAATAAAAAATCTTTGCTATTTTAAGAAGCTATTTTGGCATAAACAGATCAACTCTCGGTATAACATTGCCAGACCGGCTGGATCCTGGGTTGTTCCCACGCTGGCCAGTACTACCACCGGTCAACTGATGGTTATCTACTTTTCGCTTTGTTTCTTCATTTGCTTCTGTCTCACGTTGTGTTCCTTGATCACAGAGCAGTGAAGATCGAATTTCACCCATACTTGAGCACCGGGTCGAACCACAGCAGAACCGTGCTACAAAAGGACAAAGAACGTTTCTACGAACAAAATAACAATGATGGTCGCCAGGTTAATTTTCAGTTGGTTTATATAGTTTTTGGTACACTTCTTGCCGTCTGTTGCTGTAATTGCTGGGTCACTTAAGCACTCTGTTTATATGTATTTCACCTGACTACTACTACACCTCAGTACTAATTAATATTCATATCAATTAATTATTTTCTCCAATTTTGGAGAAGTGACACTAACCTTCAAGCAAAGTGATCAGTTATTCAAAACAATACATTCTTCAACAACAAACTTTGTTTATTAATCCTTTCTATATCCTGACGACAATCAGCCCATGATTGATTACTGTTTGAAAACAATAATTTTTCTGATAACAAACTTTGTGTTTATAAAATATATCTATGTCCTTGACATCAAAGAATTTCCTTTGTTGTCGATTTTCCAATATGACCCATATAATTTTCTGCCCATTTTGCATGTTTGCAAAATGACACTCCAGATGGTTTACATTACTGGTTTTGCAAATTCTAATAATTCCTTTTGGCTTACATTTTACATTCCTATTCTTTTCTGCATTCCTGGTTATCAGGAAGAGAAAAAAAATCTCTCTCTTTTTTTCACCCACTCCTCGCTTCATATTTCAGTTCATGTTTTCACCTTAATGCCCATGTTGACGTTTTGGTTGTAGAATATAAAAACAGTTACTCCAGAAATACATACTTTAAAAAAAGATGCTTCATTTAAGAAATTTAGAAACTTATTGCTATAATACTAAAATATACAATAATATAAAACTAAAACTCTAATCTTGTATGAATGTATATGCGTTCCAAAGATACAGCTTAAACAATACATATTAGCCTAACCAGTTTAGGAGCATATTGTACCTTGAACTCCTGTCAAATACAGTACCAAATTATATTTAAATTAGACAAGGGGTTCTTGAGCTAGAGTTTTTTTTTCTGTTTTTACAGCATTTTTAATAGAAAATTCAATATTTGTTTTTGATACACATTCTTAAATCAATCCATGCATATAAACAAACACTTGCATATTATATTCCAACTATTATGTGTGTGAAAAATAATAAACATTCATAATACATTATTATAGCATTATTAAATAAACTTAACATATGTTTATACAATTCACTATACAACAGAACTTTTTTTAGAAACAAATATCTCAGACGCTTGGCAAGTACTTTATAGTTGAAGATATTATGTGGATGTATCATTGTAAAATGTAATCTGTATGGCTGGAAAATTGTGTCACATGACTTGATGGTAAATAAATTAATAGATCCATGCTAGTTTGCTGCCATTACATATATTGAAATGAATGTGAGGAAGAAATAAGTATGTATAATAAAATATAATTATTATTTTGAAAAAAAAAAATTACCTAGAAAAAAATGGAATCATGCACACAGAAAGGGGGCATCCAATTTTTTTTTACTTCAAAAACAGGAATGCTCCTAAGCAGACAATTGCTGGTTTTTTTTTGGTGGGAATGGGAATGACCTTGACTTTTGAAAATTATAATATGGTAAATACTAAAATTGGTATAAATTGTCACCCTGGGGTTATAATTACTTGAATGGAAAAATCTTTAATGTGATATCAGTTTGTATTTCCATTCTAAAAATGAAACTTTTTCCTGCATTTGGTCTAAGTAATATTGTATAATGTGACTAATAATAATTATTACAATAACTTGTAATGTAAATACAAATTAAAATATGTGTCATTAATAATAAAATTAATAATATTATTACCTTATCATTTTGTATAATGAACTGCTTTTAAAAGGGAAAGTGACCTGAGCATTAAAGCAAAAAGCACAATAATAAAATGTCAGTCAGTTATGTGCCATGCGTGATACACGCTTAGGCAATCATGTATCTTTTGATACATGACTTACGAGGCAGATATTTTTCCCACAGTAGGTTGCCATTTCTTTCTGTGGTAGACCAGTTGCCATCTAAGACTATAGAACCCAGTCTGTCCTGCTATTTATCCATAAGTGGGGGGAGAAGAAAAGGATTCATACCTTTCCAAAGAGTATTAGCACGTAAGTGAATGTAATAGATTCAACTGGAATTCGAACTTGGCTCTCCAATTCCTCAATCCAAGCCACTATCCATTACTCCACCGTGCCTCCTCTAATAAAATGTAAGATAAACTAATCAAAAAAACAATAATGAAAATGCTTCATCTTAGAAATTCAGACAACTTATTTTTTTATTAACTTTGCCTTATTAAAAAATATTCTTTTATGTGTTGTATCAGGTGGATGATCATGGCTCTCCACAACTTCTTATCTTTCATAGCTCTAAGTAGTGTTTGTACCCTTATTATCTCTCCTTGTCCATATTCTACCATGCATTTTTTGGTTCATATTTTATTTCAATTTCTGGAATGGTAAAGAGTGTTTAGAATGATGCAGTGGTCTGTGAAAGAAATAAAGTGTTGTAAAATAATTTCTAGTTTATTATTTTGTAATTTATTAAAAATTTTCATATGGATGTATAATTCTACAAATATCTTGATATTGAGAATTGAAATGTTGTAAAGGACAAATCGTCTGGATTTTATACAAATTACAAAAAAAAAAAATTAGCAACTTGCTTTCAAATATATGGCAGGAGCAAGGGCTGACTTCATCTTCTGCAGAGGGGGTAAGATTTTTTCCCAACAAAGGAGGTCACCTTCTAAGTGGATGTTTTTATATATATATATATATATATATATATATAATCAATGTTTAGACACAAATATAAACATGACCAATGTATACATATGGACTTAAATATTACCAATGTTTACATTTATACTCAAGAATAAATGCAACCAATATTTACCTATAAATTCAAGTATAAACACAACCAATATTTATACTTGAGTCTATAGAAAATAGACTCGAGAACAATGCATCCAATAATTCTATTATTTAATTTCTGAGATGAATTATTGTCAAAATTCTTGTATTATTTTAAATCTTGGTTGATATAGGTGTTGTAAAGTCTTTCCTTCAAACATCATTCAAATACAGGAAATTCATTGTCTTTGCACAGGGATTCTAGTTTTTTTATACAAAGTGAATCTGTTGACAGATTAATACATTTGTAGACCCAATGTTTCAATTTAATACCCTCTGGTCATCATCAGGTGCCCATTGATTGGATGATATATCTGTTGATTGTAATATTTTGTCCCTATGATGTCAGTTATTGCTGAACCAGTACTTCACCATCTGATCCAGGGATTGAACTCACAACCACTAAATGACAGTAACACATGTATAGTCAACTATATACTATGTCCACTAAGGACATTAGTGGTTTGTTTTGGGATCCTTTTTATATTCAAAGTCAGTTGCTTAGGATGGCAGATTCATACCACTTTTCATAATTTGATTTCTGAGATGAGTAATTGTCAATATTCTTGTATTGCAAACTATTGTTTTCATCTTGGTTGATATGGATGTTGTTACAAAGACAAAGGCACAGCGTTTCGACAAAGTACTCTTTGGTCATCATCACATGTCCAGTGATTGGCTGATATGAGATATCTGCTGATTATCATGATATTTTGCCCCTGTGATGCCAGTTTTTGTTTGTTCCTACTGAATTGGTGCATCACTACCAGATTCAAGGATTGAACTCATGACCATTAGATGACAGTAGCACACATAACTGAATGTAATGACTATAGGAGTTTGCTACACAAACTCCTATAGCCACTACATTCAGTTGTGTGAATAGGAAAGGCATGAATATATCTCTTTTCCCTTCAACTATGGGTAAATAGCAGGACATGTTGGCTTCTATAGTCTCAGATAATAACTGGTCTAGAAGGAAAAACTCTAAATTCAAAACCAACCTGGAAAGACTTGTGCTCCATCAGGCTAACTTGCCCAGGAAATACCACTGCTACTGCTGTGGTAGTACATGTGGTGCCTCTACAACCCTAGAGGGTTATAAGTTAAAAAAAATATATCCTGGACATTAGTGGTGTGTTTTTGAAGCCTTTTATATTAAATGTCAGATGCTTTTTTTTTATACAAGGTCTCCCTGTAGACTCAGTAGTAATAAAAAAAAAGAAGACATTTCAACACTAAATAACCTAACAACAGTTAATAAATCATAAAATCCACTATTCCAATCTAAACTCTGAAATAATGATTACCAATGATCAGATCTTTAAAAGTTTCTTTAGTCCGTGGAGTCTTAGAAATTGTTTAATGGATAAGGTTTGTAACCTTCAATATTCCTTTAACAAATATTATTTCCATTTCCTTCTTTTTCTAAAGTAACTTATTCTCAATTTCAGCCAAGGTTATTTCTGCTGTTGCCAAAGCAGGATAACCCAACTGAAAAAGTCCAATATGCTATCATTTCAGTGATTGGAGTCACTTGCAGTGTGCCTTCTCTTTTTTTTATATATACATGTACTTTCAAAATGTGAGTGATCATGACTCTCCACAACTTCCTGTTTCTTGTAGATCTAACTTTTGCTCCTTTACCACCCCTTTGTCCTTGTTTTGTCATCCATTCAAACAGACTTATTAAGTAGGTTACTCATTTCACCCCAAACAAGGCGATAATGTCACTAAGAGGCAAGGTGCTACTGGAAGTGAAAAAAAAAAATCAGGAAGACTTTAGAAGGAATCAGAAACCCAATCCTAAACAAGGATACACGCATATATTAAGGTTAATCTCCGCCTGACAACAGAAGAGGTCATGTGGGAGTCTCGAGATATTTTGGGAAAGCAAGTCAAGAGGTTGACTGACCCAATTATCCGTAGCAACAGACATCTAAACAGAATCTAGACAAGGGACTGACGTAAGGTCATGAAGCAGCAGGAACTGGAATTCGCACCAAAATGCAGGACACGTGGGAATTAGAAAATTACTTGGAAGTCAGTTGCTGTCTTGTCTTTGAAGGAGCAAGACTCGAAATCGAAGCACTGATAACTTATGAACAGAAAGATGACTCGTTTTGGTAATGATGGAACTTGTCTGATTCATCCCAAGCAACTCCGGATAAGAAATATAAGGATATGTATTTCTGTTCGTTAACTCCAAATTGAAGAAGATAAATCGAGTTATTTATCACAGAAGACACAAGGAAATTTGTATGCTGAGAATACAGCCTGCGTTTGAAGAAAGAAAAGAGAAAACCAGAGAGAAGAAAGTATATATCTCTGTTGCAAGCTGAACTGTGTAAAGAAGAAAGAAAGAAAGAAAAGAGAAAACCAGAGAGAGGAAGAAAGTGTATATCTCTGTTACAGCCGGACCGTGTGTGAAATTGGACTTGTGTAAAGAAAAAGAAAGAAAGAAAAGAGGAAATGTGAGAAAGAAAAGAAAGGACAATGTGGGGAAAATAGAAATGGTTTACCTCACAAACGCCCTTGCGTCTGCCTGGCCTGTGGGTTGAGAAAGGAAAGAAAAGATCCAAGATGGCATTCGTGACTTTTAATATTCACAGTCTCGTGCAGTCACGCAAAGTCGCATTACACACATGCTAATGAGGTGTGTCTGGGCTCCATAAAAGCAGGTTGCTTGGAGAAATTGGCAGAACGGCATTACACCCATGTTTGGTGTACACGGCTTTGCGTTGCAGCGTGTCAGACATTTTCAGACGGAAAGAGTTGCGTCCCTTACACTGTTGAAGTCGACTCATTTGCTACAGACAATGAGTAAAAGAGAGAACTAAATATAAAGATAAGTAACTATATGTTTTGGACCCGTGTTAAAAAGATACACATGCATCCATAAACTTTATGTTCTCACATACACCTTTCCACATGTCAAAATAGAAATATGTAAATCCTATCCCATGTCTTTTGGTTATGCGTTGATTTCTGCTTTCGTAGTTATTCATACTTATTTTTTTATCCGTTCGGGTTCAGTCAAATCCACTTGGATTTGGGTATATTTTGGTATCCCAACATAAGTCTTGAGATTCTGGTCGTCAGATGCTTTACTCATGCTTATATTTTTCTTTTATTTTAATATCTTGTGCATATGTACATATTAAAATTCTTATGCCAAAATTTATTAGGCCTTATTATTCATCCTTGAATTGTGGATCAGTATTTGTGTTGAAACTGAAGCGAACCTGGGAAAGAGATTACTGTTTGATTATCCCAATCGAACAGTGTTCTTTAAAATATTATTGTTTACTAATTGTCCATTTGTCACGGTCTGGGAGAGATAGCCCATATCTCTCCATAGATGTGATAATGTATATATCTCCTGGTCGGCGTATGATCGCATTATAAATTATTCGTTGACTAGGACATATGACAACCTCTACTGCTGTTCAAAAGACAGAGGAGGAGGAGTGTGAATCAGACTATAGGTAAAGCTATCTACTATTAAGGAAAAAAATAAAAAATAAATGGTAAATAAAATTTCAGAGTTTAGGTGGAGATGTTAGAAATATAGAGTCAAAGGAGACTTTAGAATGATTCCTAAACAGAAAACAAGATATAAACCTCTATTCCTACTCAAAAGACTACCTTGAGTGTTAAATTCTCCAGACCCTAGTTTCTTTGTTTCAGTTGTCTCTTATTGTAAGTATAACTTTTCTTGTAGTTTTTATTTTCTTTAAAACTTCTTCATTGCTCACATGTTCTGTCCTTGATATTCTTAGCATTCATCAGTAGAAGCACATCTCATTTGTTTTATTATCTTTATTTCTACCATTAGCATTACTAAATGGTTATGTTTGTTTGTACATGTGATGTGATTACACAAATTAACTCTTCTGTTTGGGTTAAAATCCTCTTATTAGCTTCTGTTGTCACACTTCGTGCTTTAGTCTGACACTAGACCAAAAAGTAGAGGACAGCCATTAGGGATTGAACCTGCTACACTAGCATTGGCATTTGAAATTTACTCTATGCCAGGCTCATATGTTTATATATTTTCTGTCTTTGGAAATTCTTCTATGGGCCTTGTCCCTTCAGAACACGAGTAATCATGGCTCTCCACAATTTCCTGTCCTTTGTAGTTCTTAGTAAGGTATTTCTTTTCATTATATCTCTTAATTCCTCTTCTGCCAACCAACTTTAAATGTGATTATTTTCATTATCCAATTGGACTATGCCAAATCTAGTACAAGGCCACATATTGTGGAGCACCCAGTATCAATGAGATAGCTCATCAGAATGTCACCTTTTCTTCTTGGACTAAATCAAATCTGGCACAAGGATATTCTTGTGAAGAATCAGTTGGGATTGAATTTTGAAACCAGCTCCTTAACCATTGCACTAAACTTTCTACAGACTAATCTTAGCTTTGTTTAACTTCAAGCCATGTTTTCATAAAGAGATTTGAATTTGTTATTAATGGATTGTGAGATTACCTAAGTAGCTTTTATATTATCATGAATGCTATTTTTAATGTTATAATAATTCTTTCCTTTTTTTTTTTTTTTTTACAGATGTTTGTTGAAGTACAGCATCAAAACGACATCTTCATTTGTCAAGAAACGGCATGAGATATTATTAAAGAAAGTAAGTCAAGTTTCCCACTGAATTAAATAAGCAGGATAGACTAGGCTCTCTAGCCTTGAGTGTCAACCAGTCAAAGAGAAGGAAAATACTGAATTCAAAATCATGGTGAAGGCATCAGGAAACCACTCCACTATAATTGAATTAGCTTAGTGTTTTGTTTTTTTTTTATATTAAACATTTTGTTGGATAGACAATTATCCAATGCTGTTACATGATTTGGACAATTTTGCTGTTACACCCAGTATGTGTATATATATATATATATATATATATATATATATATATATATATATATATATATATATATGTGTATATGTATATGATTTTTTATCTGACATTATTTCTTATTAGTATAGACATTATTGTATCTTCTAAAATAACATATACATATGTATGTGTGTAGAGATAGCAAAAAAGTTGCTTATAATAATTATGAATAATGTTATTAAGCTGTTATCAAAATCAGTCCCAGATACTTTAGAATTATCTATTTATTATAAAAAAAAAAATTCTATGTATTTTTATATTATGTAAAGTTGTTTAAATCTATGAATGAGAATTTATAACAATGAATGTAAATTGTTTTATTTCTTTGTTTAACATTATCAGCTCATTATTATTATTGGCTGAAAAGCTCAACCTGAAATTGATCACAATAATCAGTTTCCACTCTATGTATATACTTTCAAGAGGCAAAAGTCATGGATAGGTGCCTAGTATTGTGCAAGAGTCTTTCAAGTCTGATGAGGTGCAGTATCAATTCCCCAGTTGGTCAGAAGACCTCAAGTGAAATGTTGAGCCATGCCATCCCATTAGCTGTCTGCAGGTGAAGGGTCTCCACTACATCCATGATTGGGCTCATGTTAGGCAAGTGGCCACATCATTTGTCAGAAATCTCCAGAATATAAAAGAAATACTAGATTGGCAGTTACGTCTCATCATTTTACAGTTGACTTGTGGAACTCTCTTCTGGCTTCTTGCTTTCCAGTCAGCTTTGAGCTTCAAAAATTTAAATATTATGTCAACCATTATCTTCTGTCTTCTAAATTCCTGTTCTGTTATTGATCTCTCTCCTTAATAAGGTTTTCTTTTTTTCATATTCTCTCACACTCAGTAACCCCCTTGTGTCTTAGTGGCTTTATTGCTTTGCTTGGGATGAAATGATTAAAAAAAATGCTCTGAGCAACCTATACTGAGTAACTTGGGGCCAATGACATGGTGCATTATTACCCTGCTGGAATAAGCCATTGTTGTTAGGGGGATATGGAGTCTACAATTGGGTGTAAATAGTCACTGGTATGTTTAGGTGGACTTATCAGCCTGAAACAATTGAAACCATGACTCATTGGACCACACCACACATTACCAGATCTCCAGGGTTCAATTAGCAATGTCAGGAGCCCAGCTGAGGTATTGAATCTATTAACAGGGTGCATCTTCTGTTCCTATATCCCATGGAAACTAAAGAACACTGAATTAACTTGCTGGTACCTCCCCCCCTCCCTCCCTGCATTTGACAGTGTTATGACAGACAATGACCCATTAGTTTCCTCAATATCATCAGTAAGCTTTTTTGATGCCTTAATCAACAAGAAGGTTATTGAGCACCTGGATAGAAACAATTTGCAACTAATATGTGTTTATACAGACATATATATGCATGTATGGATGTAAATATGAAAATACACAATCAGAAACAGTCACAAGAAAAAGCAATCCCAAAAAATACAGAAGATTATGAAACCCAACAGCCTTTCAACCTTTTATACAATATAACCATCTTAAATTCATAAATTAATAAGGCTTCAGCATAAAATGACCCAAATAGGAGTTGACATGCTGTTAAATCCAACATCCAACAACTTGCAACTAATAGTATGAGTTTTGATCAGCCCGATCCACTGTTGATGTCCTAATTAGCATTACACACAGAATTAGTGAGTCTCTTGACAAGACACATACCACAAGGACCATAACATTAGATATCTCGAAGGCCTTTGACAAGGTGTGGCACAAAGGTTTGCTACACAAGATCTCCAGCTATGGAATCACTGGAAAGGTTTTCTCAATTATAAAATCCTTCCTAACAGGTAGATCCCTGAAGGCAATTATTAATGGCCAATCCACCAAGGCCCTGGCAGTCAATGCAGGCAGTCCCCAGGTTGTCACTTCTTGGACCAACCCTTTTTTTGATTTACATAAATGATCTACTTAAAAATATACTCCAATTATTTGTAAATGTCTATGCCGATGATATGACAGTATACAGATGCACCTCTAAAAATTTTGACGATTCAAGATTGGCAGCTGGTTTCTCTTTTGATCTAACACTAACTTCCCAGTAAGGAAGAAACTAGCTGGTTATATTCAATGCCTCTAAAACCAAACTGGTTACATTCCATCACTGCCGATCAGACTTCAAACTACTGCCAGTCATGATGAATGGATGTCCCCTTGAAGAGGCCTGTGCCTTAAACTCACCCCAGACCTCAAGTGGAACTTGTATATTTGATCCATTGCTAAAGATGGTCAGTTCCCTGTGCCACTCCAGTAAGTACCTGACTCTTTGTGCTAACTTTATAAGAGCCAGATCAGGATGAAAATTGGGCAAAAGCTGCCCAGTATTCACTTTCCGGTCTCAATAGCCCAAAAACATCTCTGCATCCTTGTGGGTGACGAATTATTTTTCACTTTGCAAGCCTCCTCTCACAGATGGGATGTGGAAAGCCTCTAACTGCTCTATCACTACTTCTATGGAATGTGCTCAGATGAACAGCATTCCTTGATTCTGCCAGTTCTAACATTCATAGCTAAAACCCACCATGCTACTCACATTGAAGCACACCACTCTCACTGTCTCCATATTCCAGTGGTGAGAAGTAAGTTCCATTGGAGTATTATCTTCCTGCAAATCACTGTTCTGTGGAACCAACGATCACTACATTCTTAACCTGTTCAAGTCTAGGGTTAACCATTATATTCCCCAGCTATCCGCATAAACTGTTTCTTTTACACTGTAACCCCACTAATCTCGAGTGACTCCTGGACCTTGTACAGGGTGGTCCTCACTGTAAAAAGAAAAATTTCTTTACTTATGATCATTAAGTGATCAGCCATTGTACTGTCCATGATGGTCAGTAATGCCTTCCATCAGATATTCCTAGTACACACATGATGTTGAATATCTTCACAGTTTCAGAAATGGAATGTCACATCCATAAGGCCTCATTAAAACTCCAATAAATTATGTCATGAGCAACCTAGCTGGTGTTGACATTAATTCACCAGATATCAAAGCATAACTGAGAAAGGAATTGCAGTAATTACAAGATTAAGTGTGTTGCTGTGTATTTGAGCAATTGTTTTGTATATATAACACCACCTCTGTAGGGAGGGATTTAAAAAAAAAAAAAATTTTGGTTGGTTGGTTTTGTTTAGCAGAATATCAACCCCTATGGGTTATTTAATGAATGCCAATTTATAAATAATTTGTATGCAATTTTATGCCTTCAACTACAGATATTTTGTACAAAATTTTATACTTTCAGAGTAAATGTATGTTTTTTACATATATAGTTTATAGATGATAAAATGTATTGCTACTAAATTCACTACAAAAATATATTGTTAATTTTTATAAAATTATTTTGAGAATGTATGACATATCTTTAGTTTTACTATAAAATGTATTGATAGTCATTTTGCTATAAAAATGTATCATTAGTCATTCTACTATGAAATGTATTGTTGGTATTTTTTTTTTTTTATAAAAATGTGTTTTCATACTTTCCTAGTGTTTTAATTTTTGTTTAGGATTTCACTGTTTTCCCACAGATGGGTCCATAACATGTGCTACCACTCTGTGTCAGGAAAGGCCTGGGAACAACAGCTGTTAAGAGGTGGTACCATACTCCTCAAAACTTCTAATCTCCCTATGAGAGAGACCTTGTGTCAGATGTGATTTATTGTCATACCCAGAACTAACAATTTTGGGAAGTGGGTTAATCCAAATCCACCCCCTATTTCATATATTTTAAATTGGTTAGAATTGATCAGTTTTGGAATAGGTTTTGCCCAATAATTGATTTAAGTGAATGAAAAAAAAAAAATACATATATATATATATATATATATATATATATATATATATATACACACACACAAAAATGTATAGAATAAAAATTTACATACATGCACAAATACTTGCATATACGTAAGATGTTATAAAAACAGTGCTCAATGTTATGAAACAGAGCTATAAGTATATGTATTAGTTGGATATTATGTATATTCACTAATATATATATATATATATATATATATATATATGTGAAAAAAGTGAATATAAATATAAAAAATATATATATATATGTATAATTATTTATATATTATATATATCATCTTTTACTTATTAGGGTCACAAACTCACATCTATCCAACCAAATATATATATATATATATATATATATATATACACACACACTAATACAAGAATGGTGTGGATGGAATAAACTTACATTAACAAAAACTATTTTTTAAAAAAGTGCTCAATACAGAGTAGAGTGAATAATATTTATTTAAAAATTATAACATAAGTATGTTATAACATCACTACAAAAATAGCCATTTCGTTTCAACACTTCAGGTGTTTTGTCAAGTTGATGGTGTTGCAAGTAAAAAGTGGTTGGTTGAAATCTTAACCCATAAGAGTGGTTTCCACCAGTAGCCACCCAAACTTTGCTCCACCCAGGTGGCCTATCTAGGGTAGCATGGAATTCATCAGGGTAAAGAATGGTTGAAAATCAGTTTTCATTTATTCTGTTACCCATTTCATTCAATTTTCCTCAAGGATGTCTTTTAAAAATGGCCTGGTGATTGATTTCAACATGTTTCGTCTCTATTTAAGAGCAGACATCTTGTGCTTTTCACTGCTTCTTCCCTCCACAGTGCCTAATAATTTCATAGCTTGACAAAGACTTCTTTTGGTTTTTTTAACAGATCACAACAGCTATTATGTGATGAAATATAAAAAAAATATACTTTAATGTTTAAAAAAATTATTCAGTATTATTATTGTTTAGGTAATAAGCATTATTACATAGCACAATTAGCTATATTGTGAAAAAATAAGTGAATTTGCCTGTGTATGTGGGGTTGCGATTAGTCATGGGAGACTGAGTGTTTGCCAGGGCTTGTTTTTCTTTTATTTTCTATTAATTAATAAATTTAAAATTATACATTAATTACTAATTTTTTTAATTAATAACTATTTGTGCTCAGTTGTTGACATTAATAACTATCTGCTGATGTGTTAAAATTTTGGAAAAACAAAGCAATAAAAGACTTAGTCAATACTAACAGATTATGACAGCTATTAGGGAGATGTGATTTTAATATTTAAAAAATTTATTCAGTATTATTGTTTAGGTAATAATAACATTGCACAGATAGCTATATTGTGGAAAAAGGAATTTTTGACAATATACGCATTTTTACGTATTTATGGTTATTAACTTTTATCAAAAATGACATTCTTGTACATGTAGTTAGGGATAATATTATACATTAATTACTAATTTATTTAATTAATAACTATTTGTGCTCAGTTTTTGACACATAGCTATCTGATAGATGTCACGATCTGTTAATAACTTCACTTTTGATAAAGGGAATAGATTGGTCCTGAACCTGCAATTGTCCAACCTGCATTGGAATCATCAAGGATCTTCATTAAATTTCAAAGTTCAGTGGAACCTGACAATCAGTTCAGCATTAATGGTTGACATTTGTTTATATATATATATATATATACATACACACACACACAGAATTGAACAGTTTTTGTCCTGACTCTGCAGATGTTACCATCATCCAGCAAATAAACCTGTAAAGTCCAATAAATTTTTTTTTTTCATATATTGATAAAAAAAATAATGAAATGGATAATAATGTGAGCTACAGGTGTTACTGAAAACTTCTCAACCTAACCAGGGAGAGATTTAAGAAATTCCAATTTTGGGGTGTGGGTTGGTCCAAAGAGTATCAGCACCATCATTTCACTTATCCTGGGTATAACTATAAACTATATTTGGCAGCAACACCACTGAACAGAAGGTTTTGAAGAGTTTGGAACCACCTCTTAATTGCTGCTGTTTTCAGGTCCACCCTGACCCACGGTAGTAGCAGCTATGGGCAAATAGTGAACATCCAAAACATGAAAATATAAAGATACATAAAAAAAAAAAATTCTTAGCAATACATTTTCATTGTAAAAAAAAATAAATTACCAGATAATACTTTTAAGGAAAAAAAAATTACCAAAGCTTACAAGAAAATAAAATTTTGGTATTAAATGACCCATAAGGAGTTGATATGTTATTAACGAAACCAAACCACCATTTCTCACACACACATACCTTACAACAATTTGCAACCTTTGTCAACAAGAAAAGTTAGCTATAATAACATTTCCAGACTAAAAAAAACCTTTTGAATGAGAGATTGGAAATTATGACCTGTTGCATACATACTAAAATGTGCCTTTTGAGTTCATATGAACTTGGATGAAAAGAAAGTATGTATATTTTATTTAACCTCCCATTGACACATTTCCAATACACTTTTTTTTCTTCTTCTCCTCCTCTACCACATCTCATGCGCTTATTTATTTATTTCTAAATAATACAGCATCCATTACGCTTTTTTTTTTTTTTTTATACTTTATATATATATATATATATATATATATATATATATATATATATATATATAATGGGCATGGTGGAGTAATGGATAGCGGCTTGGATTGAGGAATCGGAGAGCTGATTTTTAATTACAATCGAATCCATTACATTCACTTACATGCTAATACCCTTGGGAAAGGTGTGAATCCTCTTCTTCTCCCTCCAGCTAAGGGTAAATAGCAGGACAGACTGGGTTCTGTAGCCTTGGATGGCAACTGGTCTAGGAGAAGGACAACTCTGAATTCAAAACCTGCAGAGGGTTGTTTGGAGAACCCTGTAAAATGTAGTGCACTAGGTCTGTGGATGGTCCTGCACAAAACCTTCACCACTATAATCAAATCTCGTATGCTGTTGTCAGACTGTCTGTTTCCTAGGAACTGATTTGCTTGACCCTCATACGTCGAATACAATGGGAGAGTCAAATATATATATATTAATGTATTGCTCTTCATTAATGAATTGAGCACTGTTGGCTACTTGGGTTTGTTTACATTCGTATACAATATGTTGGAATTTCCTATCCTCTCTGCCATGTGCTAATAGCTTAGGGGTAGGATCTCCGATTAATGTCAAATCAGTGGGGTTTTGATCCTGGATTAAATCAACTGGATGTCTAGCCCGACTGCTAAACTGATACATCGAAACAGGGCTGTATGTGGATATATATATTCTGTTTGTTTTTTTTTAAGGTTACAATTTGAGTAAATGCTATGTTTTAATTAATGTGTAAACAGGAAGTATATTGAAATATTTGTCAGATTCAATCCATTTCATCTAATATAAATTTTTTAAGTTAATATAAGAAATAATGAAAATGAGGAAATCGGCAATCAATTGCTGATATCTGCTGACAAGTGGATCAAATGGTTACAAAAGGTTTGTCTATGAAACTCTGAAGATGGGGTGCTGAATATGACATCAATCAGCTAAGTGACAAATTTTATATTTATATTAATTATATTATATATAAGATTAATATAAATATGAAATTTGTCAATTAGCTGATTGATGTCATATTCAGCATCCTAACTCATAGACAAACCTTTTGTAACCATTCGATCCAGTTGTCAGCAGATATCAGTAATTGACTGCCGATTTTCCCATTTCATTATTTTTATATTAACTTAAAAAATTAATTTTTTATTTTATTGGTATTAGGTTGATTCTTTTCCCCCCCCCCCATTGTGTGTGCATATGCCTGTAAATGTGTATGTGCACTTACATAGAATGTGGTTATTTCTCCTTTCCATCATTTTCTTGTCTCCTACTACTCACTCCCTCTTCCTTTTCCTTCTTTTTTTCTCTCTTTCAGCTGTGAGTATCAAAGATAATGTAACAATGTCATTTCCAGTGTCACAGACAGGAATTTTTTTTTTAATTTTTTTCTTAAATACTCTAGGGTTTTGTTAAATTTGGAAAATATATGTGTGTTCTGTTTTTATTTATTTGCTGTTTAAATAATTTTTTAATCTTTTTTTTTTAATTAATGCTTAAATGGCAAAGTAAATATTTATTTACATGTCACAAATAATTAGTAGTTAGTTTATTTAGTAGTTAATAATTTGTATTTTTTTTGACGTTTTTTATATATATATATATATATATATATATATATATATATAACTCAAACACTAATATTCCATGATTATAATTTTATTGGAATAAATAATCACATTCAATTCATCAGACCTACAAATTCAAAAATTTGAATTTTGGGTCTGATGGATTCCAATGTAATAAATTATAATCATGGAATATTAGTGTTTTTGAGCCTTTTATATTGTATGCTTAACTCTGTATTGTATATTGAGTTCTACCTGGATTTTATCCTCTTGGAAATATATATTTATTAACCACTATTATTATTATTATTATTATTATTATTATTTTATTTATATATATATATATATATATATATATATGCCAGATAAAAAATAAATTATTAACTACTAAATAAGAAAATTAGAATAATGAGTAAGTAAAGACATATAAACAAATATTTTTTTTAAGAGATGTTGCTGCTTTAATGCATCACTCTTCATAAATATTGAGCACTATGGTGGCCAGTATCACATTTCTATAGTATGTATATAATGCATTAAAAATTCCCTTTCTCTACCATGCAACAATAGCATAAGGGTAAGAGTCTTGTTGCCACCAGTATGATTTCTGATCTTGTATTTTATAAATGTCAACTATTGGAGCATGTAAAAGTTTATCTCAAACCACTTACTGGAATCAAATTACCCCCTCACACACACACACACACATAAACACATGGAATGAAGATCTTTTATCTACATTGATTCCATAATAAATAACTATTGAGCCATGGAAAATTTATTAAAGTTTCTTTTTGTTTTTCTTTTTAAATTTAGGTTGATTCTGACATTGGACTTTTGAATCCAGAAGATTCTCTTATTGCCAAAGTTACTGAGGTTGGTATTTCAATTTGATTTTTTAATTAATGAAAAATTATTCAAAATAACTTTTTTCTGATTATCATTTCAAAAAATAAAAAAGTTGATTTTACTGGATTAATGCAAAAATTTCCCAGCATTCATCTTTTTTAAAAAAAAATCTCAGATTTTTTTTTTGAAATTGCAAAAAACAATTTATTTTTTTATGAAATTTCAGAAACTAGTAAAAAAAGGTTTCACATGAATATAAAGAAATGAGCATTTCATTGTTTAAATATGTCTTTCTCTTCTTGCTTGAGAGAAAAAATAATAATTTTTAGATCAACAGATGCTAACAATGAAAAAAGGATTGATTACAAGATTCCAAAGTGAAGACGATAATATTCAGATGCGAAACAACTGACAACAGTTCAGCCTAAATGTGTTGATTAACAAACAAGTGAATTTCTTTCTTTGTTTAATGTAGCAAAAAACATAATTTTCTCAATCTGTAAATTAAAATTAATAGTTTCAAAAAAGTTAAATTTAAGTTTAAAACAATTTAAAAAATAAAATATTTTTTTTTTCAATTTCAAACTAATAGATTAAATTTAATATTCCCAAAAAATTTTTTTATATTTCAAATTGAATTTAAACTGATGGGAATCTTTTTTTTTTTTTCTCCTTATCAGTAAAATATATAAATTCATATATATTATTTTTTTGTCAAAAGTTTAATTAAAAAATAAAATAAAATTTACATTTTTTATATGTATTTTATACATTTTTTATATAGATTCATAAAAATAAAAATAATTTTTTTTTTTTTGAGGAAAATTAGCATGACTTTAATTTAATTTTTTAATTAAAAAATTATTTAACTTTTTTTTTTCAGCCTTTTTATTAAGAAAAAATTTTTTAACATGAATTTGATTGCCCAAAGTTGACAAATAGATGTTTAGAAATGATAAGTAATAGTGCAAATAGAAAAAAAAGAAAATGACTTGACAAAATATAACATGAATATTTTTTATATTTTTTTTTTACTATTCAATAATTTTAAAAATTTAAGAAAATTGAACAACAAAATTTTTAATTTATTGAATTAAAAGGTACTTAAAACAGTTAGCAAAACTGTATATTTTTAAATTAATTATATGTAAATCTTATTTTTTGATAAAAATGTATGGACATCTATTTACATTTAAATTGATATATTTAATTTATTTAAAAAAAAAAAAAAATTTTTTTAAAAAATAGTAGGTTAATTAAAAACCATTTATAACTTAGCATTACACAGTTTTCTTTTTTAACTAATAAATTACAAAAAAAAATTTTAAAAAGATTTAAGAATTTTAGTTATTTGGCAGCAATTTTCAAAATTAAAAACAATTCTTTTTATCATTATTTAAAAAACTTTTTTTTTTAAAGTCAACAAAAAAAAGTGTATAATCAATTTTATTCATAAAAAGAAATTAAATCCATTTTCTAAATTAAAAAATTATCTTCATTAAATTATATCCAAAAAATTTTTATTTAAGAAGATTGAAAAATTGAAAATTATATCCTGTTTAACAGAAAAATATTTGAATTTAATTTATCTGATAAATATATTTTATGGTAAAAATATAATTTAAAATGCATGATTTAAAAAAATAAAATATGTTCAAAATATTTAAAGTTTCAATTTTAATTGTAATAGATATTTTATAAAGAAAATATTTATATTTCAAATTGAATTTAAACTGATGGGAATCAATTTTTTTTTTTTCTCTTTATCAGTTTTTTTAAATTCATCAAAATATTGGATTTAACAAATAAAATAATTAATTAAAATAAAAATAAAATAAATTTATTTTTATTGTATTTTAACATTTTTATATATATTTACTATATAAATATTTTTTTCTGAAATCATCATAATTTATGAAAATTTTAATTTTTACTTAAATTAAATTAATCTGAATTGAATTAAATATTACTTTTTATTTTAAATATTGCAGAAAAATATTTTTTTTAACATGAAGGATTGTTTTGTGTTGACAGCCTGATGTTTGAGAAATTTAAGTTTGGGGACAGAATTAAAAGAAATTACTTGACAAATATAACATGAATGCCTTCTTTTATATAGTTTTTTTAACTATTCAATAATTTTAAAAATTTAAGAAACTATTTTAAGCAATTTAATAATTTATTGAATTTTAGGTACTTTAAGAAAATGTTAGCAAATTACTAATAATTTTTTAATTTATTATAGGTACCACTCTTATTTTCTGATAATGTCATGTATGGACATCTATTTACAAAAATTGATATATTTATGCATACAAAAAAAATTAAAATTCTTTTTAAAATGCTAGTAGTCGCTGAGATGTAAGTTTTTATTTATGACTAGCAAACACAGTTTTAATTTAATAACTTGACTACTACAAATTAATACAGAATTTTAAAAGATTTAAGAGTTTATAAATTATTCTGATTAAAATTTTTAAAAATTAAAACAATTCTTGTAAAAATCATTATTTATCAAAAAAAATTTTTTTCTTAAGTCAATAGTGTCCATAATGTGTTTTATTCATAAAAGAAATTAAAAGTTTTTCTAATTAAAACATATCTTCAAATTATATATTTTTTTATTTTACAATTGGAATATCTAGATTTTCTAAATTTTGGGGTCCTCTCTTAACACAAAAATATTTGATGATTTGGATCTCTGAGGTCAACCTTTATAAAAATATAAACATCAAATATAATAAAATTTATTTTCAATTTCCTGAAATTAAATTTACAAAATGAGGTAAATGTTTTAAAAAAAATTACTTTTATAAATATTTTCTAAAAAAAAAGAAACATTTAAAAAATAATTTAATTCATTTCTGAATACATCCTGAAAATTTTGTAAAAATCAAATAATTATCAGATTTTTGCAAGAATTTACAAATCAATGTGTTTTTCAACAAAAAAATGCTCAAAAAAAACAAAAAAACAAGATTTTTATCCAAATTTTACAAGGTTCTAAAAAGTATAAAATAATTTTTATATCAAAAAATCCTTTGATCTTCCCATAAATAATAAAAAGATAATTTTATAAAATTTTTGAAAAAAATTTTTGGAAATGACTTTTTATCATCTTTCTCTTTTTAGTAAACTTTTTAGGAAAAACATAATGACAACAATTGTACATTAAAAAAGAAAAGGTGAATATAAAATAATGTAAATTTATGACTAGAAAAAGAATTTAGAATAACTATAAAATATTTTGTCTTTATAAATAAGTGTTTAAAAAAAAATTATTTTCTTGTATTTTAGTTTATAACACAAGACCTTGGTACACAGACTGAGTTACCAAATTCAGATGAAGGTGAAAGAACAGAGCAAGTGAGTAACAAATTATATCCCATTTAAAAAAATAATTTCTTGCATCAAATTGCAATTTGACTTAATTTTTTAAAAGTTCATTTATTATTCAAACAGACATTCAGAAGCTAACCAAGAAAATAATGCAATTATTGGGGAACTGAATTTTTTAACACATATATAAAATGCATCAAATGATTTTTTTATATAAATATTATTTTTTTTTGAATTGAAAATTATTTCAAAATAAATAGTAAAAAATAAATAATTTTAAAAAAAAAAATCAAAATATTTTTTTAAAAAACTATGTTTTCACTGAAAACTTAATTATTTCCATTTATATTTTTAGTAAATAGTTTTAATTTAATAAATTTTAATAACTATTTTAAATTAATACAGAATTTTGAAAGATTTAAGAGTTTATAAATTATTGTAATTAAAATTTCTAAAAATGAAAACAATTTTTGTAAAAAATCATTATTCATCAAAAAATTTTTCTCAAGTTAATAATGTCCATAATGTTTTATTCATAAAAGCTTTTCTAATTAAAAAATGTAATATATATTTGTTTCCTAGGGTTAGTAAAATTTCAATAAAAATGTGTTTCCTTGTCCTTACATCTTTTTAGCTGCACTCCATCACCACTATTTATTTACTACTTTCTGACTGTTACCTGACATCTCAAAATCAGGGAATTCAAATTAAATTAGGGATCTTGTCAAAGGATTGCTAAATGACAAATAATTAATTGAATGATGTATATATATATAAACTTATCTTGTGAATATATATATGTCATGATTTGTTTTTTTTTTTTTGTTTTTAGTAAGAAATCTAATACAAGGCCCAAAGCCATAATCTTAGATTTTAATTTTTAAACAAATTCTGTTAAATTACAAAAATTTACACTACCCATCAATTTTAATTTCATTTTTCATTTCATTTACCATTTCATTTTTTTTATGCAATCTGATGATCTGGCATCCTTAAAAAAAAGGGCTTTGTTGAAATAAATTATTATAATTTTAAAGTCAACTCACTTTATGGTCTGTTTTTTTTTTTTATATATATATATATATATATATATATATATATATATATATATATACATATATTTATATGGTGTAAAAATAAAGTTAATGACATAAAATGGTGAAATCCCTTTCAATATTTTTATCCATATTTATATAAAAATTTTATTTATATATATATATTCATCTTACTTATTTATTGTGTGTGATTGTGTGTGTGTGTGTGTCTGTAACGTTTATATATTGGATCGGATTTCCTACATTTTTCAACCGATTTCAACAAAACTTCACAGGACTACATAAAATTACCTTGTGGTGGTTCTAACAGCGCCAAAAATGGGAAAAATATAATTGTTTTTGCACAAAATCAATTTGAAAACACGATTAAGAGACATCGTGAAAATGGAAGGGGACAACTCACATCGGTTTTTTGTATGTGTGGGTTCCTTTAAATATGGGAGCGGATTTCCTATATTTTTCAGCCGATAAAACAAAAATTTTTTTTTTTTTTTTTTTTTTTGGCAGGTAGTGTTTCTTATTCTCTTGCACACTTTTTTTCTTTATTTTTAACATTCAGAATGCTTTAAAAATTCCATTTACAAGACAATTATTTATAATAAAAAATTCTATTCAATTGGGAGACTCATAACGATTGAAAACAATGTTTTTGTTTGAGTTTGGTTTTGACCAATTCGTAAAAAAAAAAAAAAAAAACTAATTAAGACATGCGTGTCCGTCAACCTTAAACAATAATCTAACGATCTCTACTGATTGTACGAATACAAACATCGGATAAATTCTTTATCTTTAGGGAAAGATAATGAAATCTAAACATACACAAGTCCTAACTAAAAATAATAACCGGAACGGGAAACTATTTTAAATACACATGGTGTCCAATTTTTTTTTTACTGTATTCAATAAGTAAAAATCATAAATTGTAAAATTATTATTATTACAGAAAGGCTACTAAATGAATAAGATTTGTTAGATCATAATTAATAAACCCAAATAAAGTTAATATTTTTTTGTATTAGAAACAACGAGTGGAAAATATATTCAAATCAGAATTCTAATTATGAATCACCACAAGCAAAATATGCAATTTTTTTTACTGTATTCAATAAGTAAAAATCATAAATTGTAAAACTAAAAGATTACAGAAAGGCTACCTACATTTTTCAACCGATTTCAACAAAACAAAACTTTTTTTTTTTTTTTTTGGCATGTAGTGTTTCTTATTGTCTTGCACACTTTTTTTTTTTATTTTTACATTCAGAATGCTTTAAAAATTCCATTTACAAGACAATTGTTTATAAAAATTATTCTATTCAATCGGGAGACTCATAACGATTGAAAACAATGTTTTTGTTTGAGTTTGGGTTTGACCAATTAAAAAAAAAAAAAAAAAAAAACTAATTAAGACATGCGTGTCCGTCAACCTTAAACAATAATCTTTGTCAATTTTATTTTTCAGTCTTTATGATGGTGGATACTTGATCTATCTCTTACTGTTATATCCCTGGGCAATAAATTATAGGGCTCTACTGCTAGTTGTAATATAAATTTAAATATACTATATATATATATATATATATATATATATATATACTTAAAGATAATTTTCATTAAAACCTAAATTACTAAAATTATCATTAAATAATAAAATAATATATATGTAATATTAAATTGATATTTTGTATATATTTATAAATTTATTTATTAAAAAATCAGGATTCAATATATATAAATATAAGCAATATATAAACAGAGTTTAACATTGAATTTGTGATTTCTGTTTTACAGCCTAAAAGATTGCCATTTTGTGTGTGTTTATAAATATATATATATATATATATATATATATGATGCAAAACTTAATTTATTTGATTGAGTTTTTTGAGTGACATAAATTTGTAAAATGAAAAAATAAATACATAAAATATTTTGATAGATTTTTTCTCTACCAGGTGTCAATGGCCTAATATTTATAAGGAATATCGGCAACCTGCAGGCTTATAAAATCCCGGCTCAACATTGTAAGGCATTTTGACCGGCTAATTAAAGCCTGATTATTTACCAATGACTCTATTTTTAACATGAGAGACGACCTTCAAATGAAATTTGTTATATGTCATTTTCCATAGAATATCTACACATCTCAGTGCACTAAAAATATTAGACTATCTAACCAGTTATCTTTCATGAGATTTATTTTACCAAGTTGCGTTGCTGTTTTTACGTTTAATGACAAATAATGGATACATATTTGTTTATGAAATTAATTACATTAAAAGATAACAGAATTAAAAGGAACGATAAATGAAAGAGGCCAGGAGAGACTGACAAATGGGTTGCAGAAATCTAAAGACAGTTAAACATATGCATTATACATACATATTTCATGAATGTGTGGATGATACCAATGTGTACATACAATTGTGTATATATGTTCAACAACTATTTGTAAAAAAATTTAACATGTATGCTAAATATTTGTTTTCATTTTTTGTTTGATGTGTGTGTGTGGTTCGTTTTAAAACAACAATTTTCAATAACAGTTTCAAAAATTTACACATAATTTCATCCATTTCACTTTGGTTTTTTTTTTTTCACTTTGAAGTATTTTGACGTTCCTTGAGGAAAAGTAATTTTTGTTAGGTGTTTTTTAATTTTAGATTTTTTTTTTTTTCTGATTTCTCAATGTTTATTTTCATTATATTTTAAATATTTAGGTTGACAGGGGTCTACATATGTAATTTTCTTTAATTTTTTTATTAATGGGTTCATCCGGAAATAAACCTGTCATTATAACACGATCTGGTCATTTAGATTTGAATGAGTTGCCAAAATTTGGCCTAGGGTTAGAAAAAAAAAATTACCAAATCAGTTTTTTTCGGTTTGGCCTGAAAGATTGGATGTCTCAAGCCATACTAAAAAATGAGAATTCTCATGAAACAGCCTTTCTGTGGAGGACTATATAAATACAGACTTTTGAATTATTGCAGAAAAAATGAAATTTTTTTGTTTTCATCTTCATACAAATAAAAACCGCATCAAAACATTTTTAAAAATTAAATGATTTTTTTTTCGTTTTATATCATCTACTCAGTGACTATATCCATTAAACTATAAAAAAACTTTCAGATGTAAATAAAAATTACATTTTTACCAACATTTATACCATTGAAAAAAAAAAAAAAAATTGATTAAAAAAATATTTAAAAACATTTAACTGACTAGTTTTATTGAATTTGTTTAAATTTTGAAGAAAAAAAAAGGAAATACATGATGTCTGAATTCTATTTGTTTCAGTTTTTAAAAAAACTTTTTCTTTTTTGTTAAAATTAAGTTAACAAAATAGCAAGTAAAAATAAAAAAATAGTTGCCAGTTTTGTCTTAATGTTAAATTTTATGAAGTTGGATTGAATAAGGGTTTTTCTAGTAATTTATTTACACCATTTTATGAAAAAGTTGTAACAAAGAAAACTGAATGTAATTTCAAAAAATTTTGTTTTTTTTTTTTTTTTTATTTGATTTTATTTTTTTGTTATAAATAAATTTTTTTTTTTTATTTTGGAATGCACCTAAATTAGATATTAAGAATTAAAAATTAAAATAACTATGTTTTTTTTTTTTTTTTAAAATTTTGTATATTTTCAGATATGTGGGTCTCTAGTGTAAAATTAAAATTTAAATTTATTTTTTCTAAAAAAATTATGTTTCTATTTATCAAATACACTAAAAATTAAATATTAAAAAATAAATTTTATTTTAAAAAACTTTTGTTTTTTAAAATTGTATATTTTCAAATTTTTTTATTTTTTTTTTTAAACCCAAACAAAATTTTAAAATTTTTTATTTTAAATGTTTTTGTGGGTGTTCTGCCTATAAAATTCTTCTAAACAAGAAAATTAATTCATTTTATTTCTATTTTTACAAATGTCTTTATGGTTCTATCTAGTGAATACACTTAAGTAAGATTATATTAAAATGATTAAAATAATTTTTAATTTCAATTTTAAAATGTTTATCTAAAAAAAGAACAGGTGATACTAATAGAGATTTATAAAATACACTAAAATTTAAAAAAATAATTAAATTAATTTAATTTTTTTTGTATATTATATAACTAAATAGAATTTAAATTTATTTAAAAATAAAAAAAAAAATAACTCATTGATTTTTTTGTTTAGAAATTTTATTTGCAAAACCCCAATAATTTTGTTCATCCACAAAGTATCAGAAAAGAATTGCCATTTTTTTTAATTTTTTTGAGGGGTTTCAGTTTTTTTTTTTTTTTAAAGCCATATCATAAATAAATTTTGGAGAGCTATACCATTTCTCTCTCAAATGTGTTATCCAAAGACACAAAAATATAGATAGTTTATATAACGATTTTTTTTATTTTATATTTTTGTTAATAAATATGAAAAGTTATTTGTAGTTGACAATTTATTCTAAAATTTAATTAAACTTTAATCAAAAAACAAGTGTCTGTCAATTTTTTTTTTTAAATTGTTGCTTACTTTATAATTTTTGAAGGAATTCACTTCCATGGGTCAGAGAAGAAATGAACATCTAAAAGTTAAGTTTAATGTGTTTTTTAAGTGTACAATTTATAAAGATTGGTCACTTTGATTTTACAAAAAAAAAAAAAAGATATAAAAAAAAAAAAAAAAAAAAGGGATTTTTTATTTCATATATTCGCTGCTTAAAAAAAAAAAAAAAAATAATTCAATGAATAAAAGCACATACAAATTACATGTTTAGAAAGATTATTTTCTTTCCAGCCATATGAATATTTTTAAGATTGGACCAGAAATACATGAAAAATTGCAAGTTGAAAATTTATTAATCTCAAATAAAATAAGATATTGACTGGGAATCCTGTCATTACACAAGAAAATGAATGGTTTCCTTAAAAACAAAAATACTAAATCAAAACTGAGAACCTGGATCGAAAACTGTGGTATCAAGAAAAAAAAAACGATACCAAAACATAAATTGCCAAACCGCCCAACTCTAATGTAGATGGATAGTTTTCATTAAAACCTACAATAATAAAATTATAATATTATGATTTTACATAGAAAATATTATGTATATATTGTATATTTCAAGACAATTTTCGTTAAAACCTACAATAATAAAATGATAATATTATGATTTTACATAGAAAATATTATGTATATAAAAATATTTAAAAGACAATTTTTAAATATTAAAACCAACAATAATAAAATGATAATATTATGATTTTTATATAGAAAATATTATGTATATATTATATCCAAAAAAGCACAATTTTTCTCAAAAAAAAAAATAATAAAAATGATAATATTATGATTTTACATAGAAAATATTATGTATATAACCTATTTTTTTCTAAGAATTTTTTTTATTTTAAACTTCTGCTACTATTTTTTGCTTTAAGCTAGTTTTTTAGAATTGCTATGTTGCTTAAAGCATAAAAGAAATAATTTGAAGCTTGACATTCTTGTACAAAAATGATCTTTTATAAAATGTCTTTTTCTTTTCTTCTTAATTTAGATGGATTCAAAAGAACAGCCTGTGGAAGAAAATGATTTTGAACTTGTTTGGTTTTCTTGGTTCAAATCAACAAAAGATCTTCACAAGACAAAAACGTCTGATATATCTGATGTTATTAAATAAAATTAAAATTATAAACAATTTATTTTATTTTTTTCTTTTGTGGAGGTAAGTAGAATTTTTTCCTTGCCTTAGATGATTGTACACAACTTTTTTATAGATAACAAAAAAATGATACCATCTTCAGTGTTGTTGATATTCCCATTGATTAAAAAAAACAAAAAAAACTCATCTATCTATCCCACTCTGTTCATATCTATCTATCCCACTCTGTTCATATCTATCTATCTATCTATCTATCTATCAGCGCATGACTGTGTGGTTAGAATGTTCGCTTTCTAACCATGAGACCTGATTTCGAATGTTACCATGGTTGATTTGCCAGGAAGGAGACTTCTTGACATTATCAGTCTGGAGTGGGATAATTCCAACATGCAGCACCTTTGGAAAGTGCCTGAAAACCATACCACGAGTTGACCCAAGCCTTGGGTAGACAGAACACTTGGGGGGGGGGGGGCATTGATAGCTGTGCTAGCATGGTCACAAGTCATCGTGACCAAGGGTTTGAGCATGTTGACGTTGTTCAGATTATTGAACATGCTAGATAACACGCTTTTTCCCAGAAACTGTAACTAAGGTCTGCTCAGCATAGTTGCAGTATAAACCACAGGTTGGCTCTGTGGGTGTTGAACAAACACAAATGCACCCTACTGCCCTAGTAAACGGGTATCCTCGAATACCAGTGGCCAGCTATTATATATATATATATATTGATTTAATTAAAATTAAAAAACAGACAACTCTAAGGGTCTATTGATTATATTTTATTTCCCCAGGAGAGTTGTTTTTTTCCTGGTTTTTCAGATCACATTTCCAAGCATAAAAAAATAGTTTTAAAATTTACATATTATTTTTCTACACTTTTGAGGGGTAGTTTTAAGTTGATGTAAGGTGATAGAGAAAGGGGAGGAGGAGAATGATAGATATGGTCAAAAGTAGAGAAGGAAGGGAGAGAGAGGAATAATTTTAAATCTATTTTTTTAAGATACTTAAAAGTACGGGAGTTGGGTAAGGACCAGACAATGACCTATTTAATAAGTCATCTCACAGGAAGTGTCTCAAAAATGTATACACACTTTTACAGTGTATACCTCAAGCAGTGGAAGTACAAAAATGCAGACGAAGTTCCAAGGCAGTATCGAAAAGTTTAATTCAAATCCACCCATATGGCTTACAATCTCACAAATTAGAGATACGTTTGAAGCTGATGATGCTGTACATAATGTGCATAAGAACTATTCCAGATGAACATGGATATCAACCATGCCCTGTGAAGCAAGAAAGGGTGATAGAAAATTTTCACAGAAGTTCAAGAAACCTATCAAAATGTTGATTGCTGCTTGTGATTCCATTGCATTGTTAGCAATCTGGATCATAACAGACATCGATTTGAAAACAAAATCTTAAAAGCATGCATTTGTAATAAATACTGTGATATGCATTATTTGAATTTTTTATATATATATATATATATATATATATATATATGTTCTAGTTGACTGAATTATTTATTGAGAAAGCTTCAAAATGTATATACATTTTTTGAGACACCCTGTGTGTGTGTGCATACATCAACTTTGTAATTTTCTTTCTTCCTTTAATAAGGATACTAAGAAACTTGTCCATAAGTATGAATGAGAGGATCCTATTAAAAATAAGTAGACAAAACTTGTCTGAATTATTTAATGAGACATGTTACTTATAAATATATATATATATATATATATATATATATATATATATATATATATATATATATATATTTTAAAAATCAGGAGGTCAATTAAAATACGCTGAATTGACAGTCTCTTCTGGTGATATATTTAAAATGACCACCTTATTGCTTTTTAAAAAGAAAAAACACAAAGAACGCTACATAATTAATTTTCAAAAATAAATTAACAGGCACATGACTATGAAAAAACATGATATTGAGTGTAATAGAAAGGAAGGGGGTTATGAAGAAGAAAGAAGAAAAAAAAAAGTAAAAAAAGAAGGGAAAGGAATGAGAATGCAAGTGTATTGTAAATGTATACAGTAAAGAAGAAGAAGAAAAGCAAATATGTAACTTAAATGTAAGGGAGGATAGGGAGGTGAGTGTATCTTAAGAATAACAGTGGGATTTTAAATTAGTTATTTTTTTATCCAGCCTCATATTTTATAAATAAAAATAAAATAAAAAATTTTTTATGAGGGCAAGGACTTAAAATTTCAGATTTTTGGTTTAAAAGATATTTTGGATCCTGAATTATCATAATCGCTAATTTCTCATGTTGGCATTGTTTGCAAATGCAGGTATAATTGTTATATGGTTTTACCTTTTTTAAGATTTTCCACCTTATGATCGGATCCCTGTTATTTTTTCTTTTAAATTCCACATGTGGCTGGCAAGTTTGACATGGTCTGATTCAACTCTGACCATTAACCTTTTAATGTCTCTCTCTCTCTCTCTATATATATATATATATATATATATATTACAATGATGTTCACTCTGTACAAGGCCCGAGGGCCACTCAATGTAGGTGGTTACAGAGGCACAGCTTATATGTGTGGAAGATAAGTTAGCCCTAGACTTGAACAGGTTATGATTGTAGTGATAGGGGAAGCATCCTCTTGGGAGTCAGTTTCACAATTGGTGATTCATGAGAAGAAACTGCTTGAGTGGAACTTACATCTCACCCATGAAATATGAAGGGAATAAGGGTGGTCCACTAAAATGTGCATGACATGGCAGATCTTAGTCATTAAGGTTAGAACTGGTGAAACTAAGGAATGTAGTTCATCTGAACACTTTTTATGAAGATAGTGATGGTTTTTATTCATTTTTATGACTTCTCAACCATTTGCAGGTTATTTAAAGGCAGAAAATATTTTTAGATTGTAAGAATTTTGTGGCAGAGATAATAATGATTTAGTGATTCAAGATTTACTAATTAACCCATAGCTTGGGAGAGAATAGGTGGATTTATACTTTTCTCAAGAGTATTTGCATGTAAATGAATATAACAAACCCAACTGTAATTGAAACTCTGCTCTCTGATTAAGAATTTTGAAGCAATATCCATTGCATATCCAAGTTTACAGCACCTGATATTCCTAAGCAGTCAGCCATTTAGATACTGACCAGGCTCAACATTGCTTAACTTCGGGTATTGTATGGGAACCAATGTTTCAATGTGATATGGTCATAAGTCTTCTTATTGACTCATGTCAGTGCATTTATTATTATTATTCTCATTGATATTTCTAGAGGTTAGGTTGCCAAATGAGAATTAAAATCACTACATTAGAAATAGTCTATGAAACAAGCTTCTTAAACATTGCTTCATAGTGAAATATGCTTGTTATTATGTTTGTATATATGGCTATTATATGTTTCTACTTACGATCTGTGTAGTATCTGCTTGATCATAGTTTCTTCAGAAGTGGAACCAGTTGCACTTTTTGATTGATTATAATTCATATTATTATTCTGCTTGTTATCATAATTATTGAGTAAAAGAGAACCACACTCCAACATAATGACACTAGGGTAAAAAAATATGAAGCCCAATGTGCACGTCATGACACCCAGTCTAATAAGTGTATACCAGAGACATAAATCACTCCCAAATATGTGCAATTTGGTGACATAAAATCAGCCCATAACCTTGCAGATGGAACCTAGTTAGAAATACCTTGTGATCAAGTAACCTAGTTCATTTGGATGCTTACTGATTGAGGGTGTTTCCAAGTATCTAAATGTAACTCCCAAGTCATCTTAGCTACCTCATAAAACTTTAAAAAAAAAAACAAAAAAAAAACCTCTTGACTTCCAGCCATGATGCTCCCCAACTACTCCTAGTGTACATCCAGGAACTGATCCACACTGCTTTCATCATCACTCTAGTACCATATGACACTATTCTTTTGTCACACCATGTACATGTACAGGTGGTCACCGATTGACGGTGTTCCTAAGTATCTAGATGCGAATTCCAAGTTGCATGGGTACCTCATAAAACTTTAAAATACAAAAAAACAATTCTTTTGACTCCCAGTCATGATGTTCCACCACTATTGCTTCTCATGATCAGAAATGCACAATATGCCATTCTTGAGGGGACATGCCCAACTGGTTATAGTTAGGCAACAGATAAGCAAATCTGTGGTACTGAATTAAATATTCTAATTCACCAAGACAAGACATGTACAATGTAGCATCTCCAATCAGTTAAGATTAGAATGCATGAGAACCATTCCTGGTGTTATCATTATTGAAATTTATAAATCTTATTTAATATGGCACATAGGTATGGCCAATATGCTATCACATATATGCCAATCCCATGTTTTTGTGATGTCAACAAACACTCATTGTCACATTGGAGTAGAGATTTTATAATTGCAGATACAACTATAGTACGCTGTTGAACAATACTGATGTCAGACGCTTTTGAATAGCACTCACACTAATAGTACTTGCTTGATAATACTCGCTCAAATAGTAATCTGTATAGTAATAGAGGAGAAATAGCAATCCATATAGTATAGAGGATAGACTAGAAATAACGATCAATCTAGACATCACGCAACTTCCTATATATGTGTGTTTCCTCTATGGCCACGTGATCTACTTAATTCAATAATGGGATCACCCATGTTTGCTCACTGGTGATCTATGTTCAAACTCAAAACTTTATTCCTATATAGTACATGTCTAAAATCATTACTGCCATTAATTTTCAAAATCATTTGTCTAAAATCATTACTGCCATTAATTTTCAATATCATTTGTCGAAAATCATTACTGCCATTAATTTTCAAAATAAATTAGAAAACTTCATTGGTTTCTTTGTATGTTCATCATGTGGCATGTCTTGAGTGTTTTAACCTGGCAGAGCACATCCCTCTCCAGATTAGACCACAGCTGATGTCCACCAAATAGGTGCCTTGCCTTGGTCACAAACATGTGGCTGTTGCAGTTCATCTGAAGAACCCTTCTTCCCTGTCCAGTGACAAGGAGGTCCTTTGCTCAGTGTTGCCATGCTAACACCACCACCCCACGTGAGTTTAGCCCACCAGCTGAAAGGGTTTATCAAGGCATGGCAAATTGGGGTAAGAGATCTAGGAAATGGTCAAGGACCAGTGATGCTCATCCACCCAGAGGTACAGCATGCCAGACATCAGAGGTACTACTTCTATCCGCCAGAGCCCCCTATGCCCATATAAGTCTTATATTCAATAAATCAAGCAAATTTAAAGTGACCTGTCTGGTTAGCTTTTTCAAGGGTTTTGTG